CTTTTCTCACCCTGCAAAGCGTCTTATCTGGTTGAGTTACGTTCTGCTAACATTGCCTGATGACCGATGTGTAATTATTTTTATTTATTTTATTTTTTTTAAAGATTTTATTTATTTATTTGAGAGAGAGAATGAGAGACAGAGAGCATGAGAGGGAGGAGGGTCAGAGAGAGAAGCAGACTCCCTGCCGAGCAGGGAGCCCGATGCGGGACTCGATCCTGGGACTCCAGGATCATGACCTGAGCCGAAGGCAGTCGCTTAACCAACTGAGCCACCCAGGCGCCCGACCGATGTGTAATTAATTAATTGTTTGTGGAAGGATTTTAAAATTGTCTTCCCTGCTAGACAGGGGCAGACGATGTTTTCCTCACTACTGCATCCCTAGCAAGTACTATACTCCTAGCAAGCCGTGGGTATACAGTAGGTGCTCAATAAATACTCGTTGAACAAAAGATCAAATGGGCCAGGATTGTGTGTGGTTATGACAATGGGCTCAGAGGTCTGGGTTTGAATCCTCACCCTGATACTTATAGGTTGTGCAATCCAAGACCCATCCCTCAACTTCTCTCTGTCTCAGTTTTCTCGGCTGTGAAATGGAAACACTCCCTCGGGTGTGCTGGGGGAGATCGAGTGAATACAGGCCAAGCATCCCTCACAGGGTTCTCTGTACACAGAGAGCGCTCCGCCGTTTCTCTCAGCTTCTTTCAGTGTCACGTCCTGCAGGGAAATTGTGAGGAGGGAACTGAAAAATCTTCAAAGAGGGGGGCATTTGAGCTGGGCTCTGAAATAGAAGTAGGATTCCAGCTTCTGTGGCGAGCGCCAGATCTCTTTACTGAGTTCATCCAGCTACAAAATGGAGATGATGACACCCAGTTTCTGTCTCCCTCTGAGGAGATGTTCTGGCTTAAAGTCTCTCAAGAGGAAGATACCACACAATTAAAAACCACCATTATTATTCAGCTGGAAAAAGTGCCTTCACAGGACAAGTGAACTAATCCCTGCCAAACATGATTCTGCTTGTGCTGTGTGTAATTGAATATTGAGTGTGGATTTAACCCAGGGAGCCAACTGTGCTGTTGGTTAGAGTCAAGTTTAATGGGGCTCTTAATAAACATGGAGGCAATTAATATCATCCAGATGCTAGATGCCTGTGAAGTTCGTGCTGCTTGTATGACTGAGGCATTTCAGAGAGATGGGAAGTTCTGGACTCCCTCCTGGCGGGGGGGGGGGGGGGGGAGCTGGAAGTGCCTGGACCTTTGCTTCTGCTGTAATCTCCTTCTGGAAAGTGAATGTCACCTACTCTGGGAAGCCTTCCATGATTGCCAAAGGCGGAGTCCGATGCTTCTGGGTTCGTTCTTCTTTTGTAGAACTCAAAATATCCTATTGTATTAGTTTGTTTCTATGTCTCTCCCCCACCGGAGCCTAAGATCTTGTCCCCAGTGTCTACCTGACATACAGCTGGCACTCAATGAACGTCTGCTGAATAAAGCTTTTCAGGTTTCAAGACTGTGGGAGATCTTGGGTCTCAAGAACAGGTGAGAGTGTTTGGATCTTCCTGGAAAGGGCAGGTTGGTATTGACATGTAATCTATCTCCTGATGGAAATTCTCTTTGCTGACCTCTCTAATGAGCCCAGCATTGGAATATGATCCTCTCCTCCTTGTAGCAGACCTGCTCTTGGAAGATCCTAGAGCACAGGAATAGGACTCGGGCACCTGAGAGTGGAATCTAGTCCTGAGGTCATACTTTGTAAAAAGCAAGAGAAGAACAGGTCTTGGCAATCAAAGTTGGTTACTGTTATGAGGCCCCTGGAGGCCCAGAGAAAGAGTCGAGGATGTGATGAGTCTCCATGGCTGTTTGGGCCCTGCTGTCTCTGAGGGAAACGTGTCCCAGGCCTTTCTGGCACATAGAAGATACCTAGATCACCTGGAGGAAAGAGGACCCTTGTTTCAGTCCCATGTCCTGGATTTATCAGGATCTGCCACACTCAGCATTCATTTATTTAGCTTCTTGGTTTCACACCTGAGCTGAACCTAAGGCAGAAGGAGGTGATGGAACACTGCAGAACTGGGCTCAGGCAAGAACCCCCCAAAGCCAGGTGGCTAACATCCTGCCCCTAGAACTGCCTGCTCTGAACAAGGCCCCCAACTCTGGACTCACTACTGCCTCTGACTGACCTTTACAGCTGGAATTTCTGCCTCCAGATTCAGTCTGGGCGGGGCGGGGGGTGGGGGGTGGATTCTGACAGGTCATGAGTACATCCAGCCTCTATGCTTTAACAAGAACTGAGGTGAGGGTGTGTTTACCTCTTCCAACTGCCATAGTGGGAGAGGGGGCTACCTCTTCCCGTTTCTTGAGATTCTGACAAATGGAGGTTGGGTAGCCCAACTGACAAATGCCAGCTTCCCCCCGACTCCACGAATTCTGTATTCTCTCCTGTTACTCTTCAGAAGGGCTCCATCTCTTGGGCTCAGTTAGTCACTCAACAAACATTGACTTATACCTCCATGGACCAGGCAGTGTACTAGGTCCTTGGAGGAGAGGGCAAAGGAAACAGAAGCTACACTCTACTGGGGGAGAGACTGATGATGAAAAAGCAAGCAAACAAGGCAATCGCAGACTGTGGTAATGCGATAGAAACGGGCAGGCAGCTGTGATAGAAAGTAAGAGAGGTCTGCTTGGAGAGTTTCTGTTATCTATACCTCCAAAATTAGTGGCTTAAAGTACTCATTTATTTAGCTCATGATTTTGTGGGCCAGGAATGTTATGCATGTAGTCTGTGCACTGGTTATGCATGTAGTCTCTGTGAGCCTTTGGGAAGTTGCTTAACTTCTCCAGCCCTAGGTGTCTTCCCTTGTAAATGAGAATAATTACAGCTGCCTTATAGGGTGGCTGGCAGGAGAATACTGATACATGTCAAGTGCTTGGCACTTAGTGAATATGCAATAAATGGCAGCTATAATTAATAATTATAAACCAGTTTATACTGTCATGTGTTCATCTGGTTTAGAAATTTTTTTTTCAGAGCAGAAACCATATCGTTTTCAACGTTTTCTTTCATGGTGCAAGCAGTGCGCCTTGCAGAGATATTATGGATCGGAGCAAGCATGGCACAGAGCTCTTCCCCTTGCTGTGGTGCTAATGGAACCATGCAGGGCACAGAGATGAGCAAGACTCAGCTGGAGCCTTCCGGGAGCTTCCAGAGAGTGAGCAAGTAATATGCCTGCAGCAGCCACACTGGGGATCTTTTACCTTTGGATACCGAGTAACAGGTTTCAAGGCACCTACACATCTGTATTAGTTTGCTAAGGCTGCCATAAAAAAAGTACCACAAACTGGGTGGCTTAAACAACAGATATTTATTTTCTCACAGCTCTGGAGGCTAGGAATCTGGAATCAAAGCTGAGGGCTGGGAGGAAGAATCAGTGTCGTGGCTTTCCCCTAACTTCCAGTGGTTTGCTGGCAATCTTTGTCATTCCTTGGCTTGTAGAAGCATCATTCTGATCTCTCCCTTTATCTTCACATGGCATGCTCCCTGGGTGTAGATCTGTGTCCAAATTTCCCCCTTAAATAAGAACACCAGTCTTATTAGATTAGTGCCTGTCTTAGTCAGCTCATTTTAACGTGATTACCTCTGTAAAGACCCTACTTCCACATATGATTACATTCTGAGGTACAGGGGGTTGGGCCTCCAACATAGCTTTTTTGGGAGGGGACACAATTCAACACATAAAACATCTCTGTTTCCTATGACCCTCCTCATCCACACCCCACAGTGAGCCCCTTTAAGGGCAAGTACAGACTCTTGTCCTACATATGTGTACCCTTCAGGCTTCAGCTTCTGCCCCCTTCTTATGCTCCAAACCTTTCCCACAGCCTTTCCACCTCCCACCATGCTCTTTCCTCCCTCTCTTTGCCTGGCAAAATCCTACTCATTCTTCATTTCTTAGCTTAAGTGTTACCTTACAGAGAGGCCTTCCCTGATCACCCTGTCTTGATTGTATCTCCCATGTTACTTATTCTCTCATGGTTTCCCCTTCTTCCCAAGACATCTCCGGATTCATATACATTTCTCTGTGTGATTGATTAATGGAGGCCCAGACATTAACCCCTACTCTGTGAGCACAGTGAGGGTGGAGACCCATCTACCTGCCATTGTCCTCCCAGTTCCATAGTACATGGAAACCCAGAGCAGAAACTCCATAAGTATCTGTTGAATGAATGCAGGAATGCTACATTCTTGTATCTTCCATTCCACCTCACGTAGTATGGAGTTAGTGGACGTTGTTGTCTGAATTCTATTATTAAATTTAATTAATTTTTAAAAAATACTTTATTTGAGAGAGAGAGATCACAAGCAGGAGGAGCAGAGGGAGAGGGAGAAACAGACTCCCCACTGAGCCGGGAACCTAGGACCCCAAGACCACCACCCGAGCCAAAGGCCAATGTTGAACCCACTGAGCCACCCAGGTGCCCCTCAGTTGTAATTATTTTAGTGTCCTCTAAGAGTGAGCTCTTTGAGGGTAAGATTAGGTCCTGATCGTCTATGTATTAGTTATCTATGCTATATAACAAATGACACTGAAAGTAGGGGCTGAAAGCAGTAACATTTATTATTTCACAATTTCACTGTATCTCCAGTAACCAGCACAGGAAATAGAAGATGTACTCAGTGAATTTTTTCTTTTTTTCCAAGTAGATTCTATGCCCAAGGTGGGGCTCCCCAACTCACGACTCCGAGATCAAGAGCCGCATGCTCTACCGACTGAGCCAGCCAGGTGGCCCTCGGTCAAAGTTTTTAAAGAATTCTAATAACGTGCTTCTGTTTGCTAAGAATTCTTGTTCCTCTCCCCTCTTTGTAGGTTCCCAGTTCAGGGTCTAGCATAGAATTAAAGCGCCTATAGACGTCTATAGACGTCTGCTGAAAGGAGCTGAGAGACAAAGGGGCTTAGAGGAGCCGGGGAGGTCTGGATCCCGCTTGCCCACGGCGCCCCCTCCGCCTCAAACCCACAAAGTTGGGACAAAGGCCGGAACCCTAGCAGCGTGCGCGGGGCGGAGCCCGCTGGTCGCTGAGGGCGTCACTTCCGGGATCCGCCACGCGGAACCACTTCCGGGGGAGCGGCCGGGCGGCGCGGGAGGTGAGTGCGGCGGCGGGGCGGCCGGGCTCGGGCTTCGGGGCGGGGCGGGGCGGGGCGGAGTGGCCCGGGCGGTGGGAACGGAGAGGGGTTGGGCTCGGGCGCCGCGGCCCGGGTGCTCCGGGCGGCGCTGCGCGGCCGGCCCCGGGACGCCCTGCGCGGGACGAGAATAACTTCCCGGGGCGCTCGTCAGGAAGTTACTTGCAGAGGGGAATTCGAGTCCCTGGGAGGTGGAGGGCCTCGCCCGGTGCCGTCCAGTGTGTTCGCTCGGAGCCCGGGCCTGCACCCTGCGCTCGCTGGCGGGATCTGGCCTTTCCTCCCACCGGCGGAGCGTTAGGAGGAGCCCGGGCTCCGGGGTCATTCCGGCCGGAGTTCGACTCCTGAGTGGGCCCCATAGTACTGTGTAATCGTAGGTGGGCCTTCTCTGGTTACCTCCCTGGTTCTCAGTTTCCTCCTCTGTAAAATGGGCACATAGGCTTGATCTAAGGATTAAATGAGATGGTGTATGCAAAGCGCTTAGTTAAGTGCACAGGGCGTGTTTGTCGTAATGAACCAATATTGATAATACTAGCCAAAGTCCACGCTTTATTCGCATTTGGCTCAGTTTCTCCCAGTGTCCTTTTTCTGTTCCAGGATCCTGTCCAGGATACTGTATTACCTTTAGTCGTCATGTCTCCTTAGGTTCCTCTTGGGTCTGCTAGTTTCCCAGACTTGTTAGATCAACTTGACAGTTTTGAGTATTACTGGTACAATATTTTGTAAAATGATCCTCAATTGAGATTTGTCTGATGTTTTTTTCGCATGATTAGATGGGAGTTAGGGGTTTTGGGGAGGAAAACCACAGAGGTAAAGTGCCATTCTCATCACATCACATCAAGGGCACATACTGTCAATATAAGTTGTCCCTTGATGTTAACTTGGATCACTAGCTTGAAATAGTCCAGCTTTTCCACTGTAAAATTACTTCCCTTCCTCCCCTTTTCCATATTGTAGTCTTGGAATAAAGTCATTACATACAGCCCACACTTAAGAGTGTGGAATCATGCTTCACATTTAAAGGTTGAGTATCTGCATAAATTATGTGGAATTCTCCATGGGAAATTTGTTAACTCTCGCCCATTTATTTATTTACCTATTCAATTATTTATATCAGTATGGGCTCAGATATTTATTTTCATACTTTGGGTTTTAATCCAGTAATTCTATGTTTTATTGCTCAGAGTGCTCCAGCTTTGGCCATTGGGCACTCCTCTATCCCTTTGACATGCACCAGCGAGAGAGAGAGAGAGAGAGAGAGAGAGAGAGAGAGAGTGTGTGTGTGTTTTAACACTTTCTGTTCCAGGCTCATCCTGTATATTTCATGCCTCAGTCCTAGAATTAAACATTTCTCCATGGAGACTTGCTTCCTTTTATTGGAGAATGTACTAAATGCCAAGACTTGGTTGATAGGTGTGATCATTGCTACGGGGATGCCCATGTTTCTAGACCCTCAGTGTAAGAGACAGATGTGTGTATACTAATGTGTATATATACACACACATCTGTAAATATTTCTTTGTGTAGCTACGTGTATCTATATTAAGCTAAATCTGAGTTCGTATCTGCAACTCTCATCAGTTCCACATGGATCTTTCTAGTCTCCTCTGGCTTATCTGTAACCTTCCACTCCTTCTGTGACTAATCTAGCTCCCACCATCTACCATCAATGTACTCAGCTGTTCAATTTCAGGATACATATATAGTGGTTTCAGAATTGTTGACGTCTGCCGCCTGTGGGAAGTAACTGTCAACTAGAGAATACTGTACACATGCAGTTCCTTTTACCTTAAGTCCTACAGACTCCACTCATTTCCAAAGTTACTGAGGTCTGCACCTGATTCCCCCTGCCCTTGCTGTAAAGTTGTTTAATACATTTGTAATACATTCAGATTCAGAATGTCACATTCTGTGTTCCATTCTGGGATATCCTGACCTCTTAAATGATTTTTTTTAAACATTTGCATGCATTAAAGTTTGCTCTTTGTGCTGGGAAGTTCTGTGGGTTTTAACAAATCCTTAATGTCTTGTTTTTCACCATTCCAGTATCATACAGAGTAGTTTCACCTTCAGGGATTATTTTTAACTTACTTCTTTCAGATTTTACGTCAGCAATGCCATTGGCTCTTCTGCAAACTATATCCGTAACCCCGGAGCTTATCACCCCCACTGCGGCAGTGGAGGCATGGCTTTTGGCCTGTTTCACAGCAGCCTCCCGACTGGTATCAGCGTTCCCACTCCTGTCCCCCGGCAGTCTGTTCTCAACACAGTGGCAGCCAGAGGGACTATTTTTTTACTTTTTAAAGATTTTATTCATTTATTTGAGAGAAAGCGGGAGCACAAGCAAGGGGAGTGGCAGGCAGAGGGAGAAGCAGGCCCGCAGAGCAGGGAGCCTGATGCGGGACTCGATCCCAGGACCCTGGGACCATGACCTGAGCGGAAGGCAGATGCTTAACGACTGAGCCACCCAGGCACCCCAGAGGGACCATTTTAAAATGAGTCAGACCCTGCCATCTTTGCTAAGTACCTTCAAGTGGCTCCCCTTTTACTTAGGGGAGAAGCCAAAGGCCTTATAATGGCCTACTGGCCCTACACAGCTTGCTCACTCTCCTGTTCTCCTTGATCATAAAGCTCATTCCTGCCTCAGGACCTTATCCCCGACGTTTCTGGGGTACTCCAGCCTATATTTAAATGATGTTCCTGTGCTTTCGTTTTGCCTCTGCTGAAATGTCACCTTCTCAGAGAGGCCCTCCTCTCACCACCTCATATAAAATCATACTCCCTCTTTATATTTTCTCATAATACTCAGCTCTGACATTATATTCCATTTGTATGTGTGTGAGTGCCTCCATTTGAATGAAAACTCCAATGGTGGGAGTTAGAATAATACTTGACACACAGTAGGTGCTCAATATGTGTCCCATGAATGAATGTCTCAGACCACTAGTGTCTGGCATTCAGGGATGAGCCTCAGGGGTTTTAGTAACCTTATGAAATTATTTGTCATGTTTGGTAATAGATGAGTAAGTGGTTTTTACTAAATTCTGGTAGGGGTATGAGATTTCCCCAACATATAAAAACCTCTGCTCCTGCTCTTAAAGCGAGTCAGGCCCACCGCAGGGCTAGAGACACCGCAGGAGAGTCAGCTCTGCCCTGACTCACTGGGAAGCCTAAGCAAGCCCCGTGCTTCTCCACTCCTACCCCTCATTGTTAAATGAGCCAGTTGGTTGAGGCATCTGCTCTTGCTTTCCGGGTGGGAAACAGGCATAGGCTTCATCATTCACCACATGTCTGAGTCAGGCCCTGGAACAGACTCAGGGTGGGCCCAGGGCCCCTGCTGTCCAGGGCCTTATAGCGGAGCAAGTAAAAAACATTAGACTCCAGACTCCTTATTTCTCAAAATAATAAGAAATTCGTTTTGAATTTTGGCCCAGAACACACATAGTTGGATGTAAATGGATGTAACTGAAAAAAAGCTTCAGGATACAATACTGACCCTTACTAATGTGTTATTTTTCCTCCCTCCTTCCCTCCCTCCCTCTCTTTTTTAAGAGAGAGAGTGAGCTTGTGAGCAAGTGGGTGGGGGGGAGGGCAGGGGCAGAGAGAGGGGGAGAGAGAATCCTTAAGCAGGCTCTGCGCTCAGAGCTCGGAGCCCGATGCGGGGCTCCATCTCACTTCCCTGAGCTCATGACCTGAACTGAAATCAGAAGTCAGATGCTTAACCGACTGAGCCATCCAGGTGCCCCACTAATGTAATATTTTCTATTGTCATTTATTTAATTAAATCAAGTGTTGGCTAATGAAGTTAAAAGGAAAAACTGCTGCTTGCAGCCCCCTAAGTGGTTTCCATGGCTCACTGATGGGTCACAGCCTGCACTTTGAAAACCATTGACCTAGTGGGAAAGAGCTCAGGCTGTGGAGGAGCCAGCCGGTTTGAAGCCTGTCTTTTCCTCTCATCAGCCACGTAGTCCCTGGGCAGGCCACGTAACCTCTCCAGGCCTCAGTTTCTTCCTCCTCATTGGTAATACCTGCCTCCCCAGGTAGTTGCGAAGTGAATGAGATGCTCACTGTGAAGTGTGGTGCACATCTGGCAAATGATACATTCCTTGCTGCTGCTGCTGCAGCCACGGTGGGGGGTGGGGAGGCACAGCCTCGCACAGGGAGTCTGAGGGCAACTGCCTCCTACTTGAGATCTGGAGGATGAGTAGGACTCATGTGACTTCTGTACTCAGGAATGGAAGACCCAGAAACACTGGCAGGAAGGCTGGGAAGTCAAGCGCAGGGGTGCAGAGAAAACTAGATAAGAGTTGTAAAGCATATACAATCTGTAGGGCATTTTCCAGAACCTTTGCACAACCACTCTCCTGTTACACCCGTGCTGTCTAATACGGAAGTCCTCGCTTGAACGGTGATGATTACGGTGACGATTCACGTCTTCCTAGCCTGTTTGGCTCTTTGGCCAATGACATCAAGTTTATACATGGTTGCAGTCACAGTGTTCATATAATTGTTGTCTCTTTTCAGCGAACGTTACTTTGCGAAGACTTTCCACTGACCTGATATGCATTGTTTATATTTGCCATTTTAGGGAAGGGGGAATATGCCATGATGTGCCATAATTGGGTTAACTGCTTCTTTATTGTTGGATACTTTAGTTGCTTCCTGTTTTTCAGTATCATGAATAGCACCACCGTGAACTTTTTTGTACCTGAAGCCTTTTTTCTTGTTTTGAATTGTTTCCTTACTGTAAATTCTAGGAAGTGAGTTATTTGGTCAAAGGATATAATCACTTTTATGGCTCTTGTTATATATGGCCTTATGGCCATTAAAAAAAAAAAAGCCTAAATGCATTATAGCTTCGAATAAATATTATTGTTGTTTGGTTCATGAGAACATCAAGTCTCCAGGAGGTCAAGAGATAGGCCCAAAGTGTAGCTAATTGCTGATAGAATCAGGCTTTTTGCCCCCACCCTCAGGCCCCGTCTTTTTATTGTATTCCAAGTATTCATAACAGTGTTGCTATTGGTAACACTAGTTAATCTAAGTATTGGTAAGTTCAGTAGGCTTGTTACAGTCTTAAGCATAAAGCTTGGGACCAAGGGCATTTTTAAAAATGTAGACTTAGGGGCGCCAGCGTGGCTCAGTCGGTTACTCTTGATTTTAGCTCAGGTAGTGATCTTGGGGCCGTGGGATCTAGCCCCGCGTTGGGCTCCGCACTCAGTGCAGAGTCTGCCTGTCCCTCTCCCTCTGCTCCTTCCCCTGCTCATGCTCTCTCTCAAATAAATAAAATCTTAAAAAGAATTAAATAAAAATGTATACATTGTGAGCTGCCACTGTGAAGAACCGAGAACGCTTGCTTCCACCTTGGTGTTCACATGCTGGTGCCCTGGCAGGGCGGCACGTTTCCTCCAGAGAAGCTGTTCCCGTGGCCGCCCTGGAATTCACTTTGGGGCCAGTTCATGAGCCACCCCAAACAATCTGCCTGTGTCTGAGCATCGTCATACCTTGTATTTGACCAAAAATGGTATTCCTGAGCTCGTGGCCCCACCTGATTCACCACACTTGGATTCAGAGGATGTTGGGTTCTTTCCAGAAGTCAAATCCTTCCTGGGAGGATGAAGATCTGCCAGCTCTGAGTTGTTTTTTTTTTTTTTTCCCCAAAAGGGGCCCCAGGCTTTGAAGGTGGCTCCCAGAGAAAGCAGAAGCTACGTGAAAGTGGACAGCCTGCCAGCACGGGCGTGTGACCTTCCCAAGTGTCCAGGTCAGAAGGGACACAGTACACCTTTGCATAAGTCCCACTCTGTTTACTGAGAAGGTGGTTTTGCTACCCTTTAGTCCCTCTTCTGACAATGGTGCAAAGCAATGAAACTGCAGTGCTGCCATGGAGGAAAGGCTTCGAACCTTCTCTTTGGCCCAAGGCTATGCTGTAGGAATACGATGCAGGCCAAGTGTGTAATTTTACATTCTCTAGTAGCCACATTTAAAAAGTAAAAAGAGGGTGGGAGGATGGGTTAGCCTGGTAATGGGTATTGAGGAGGGCACATTCTGCATGGAGCACTGGGTGTTATGCACAAACAATGAATCATGGAACACTACACCTAAAACTAATGATGTAATGTATGGGGATTAACATAAGAATAAAAAATAAATAAATAAAAATAAAGTGTGTAATTTTACATTCTCTAGTAGCCACATTTAAAAAGTCAAAAGAAAAAGGTAAATTTTTTAAATTGTAAAATATACATAACATAAAATTTACCATTTTAACCATTTTTTTTTCTTTCATTTTAACCATGTTTTAAGTGTATAGTTCAGTGGCATTCACAGTGGTGTCTAACCACCATTACTGTCTATTTCTAGAAGTCTCTCAGCATCCCAAACTGAAACTCCCCCATTAAACACTAAGTCCCCAGTCCCCTCCCGCAGCCCCTGCTAACCTATATCAAGTTTCTGGCTCTGTGAATTTGCCTAGTATAGGTGCGTCTTGCAAGTGGGAGCATACAACATTTGCCCTTTTGTGTCTGGCTTATTTCACTTAGCATCATGTCTTCAAGGTTCGTCCATGTTGTAGCAGGTGTCAGAATTTCACTCCTTTTGATAGCTGAATAGTATTCCTTTGAACGTATGTACCACATTTTGTTGATCCGTTCATCTGTTGATGGGCTCTTGGTTGTTGCCATCTTTTGGCTGCTGTGAATGCACCTGTGAACACTGGTATACCGGTATCTGTCTGAGCCTCTGCTTTTAGTTATTTGGGGTATATCCTAGGAGTGCACTTGCTGGATCATATGGTAATTTTGTGTTTAACTTTTGTATTTTTATTCTCTTTTTTTTTAAAGATTTTATTTATTTATTTGACAGAGACACAGTGAGAGAGGGAACACAAGCAGGGGGAGTGGGAGAGGGAGAAGCAGGCTTCCCGCGGAGCAGGGAGCCCGATGCGGGGCTCGATCCCAGGACCCTGGGATCATGACCTGAGCCGAAGGCAGTCGCTTAACCGACTGAACCACCCAGGCACCCTATTTTTATTCTCTTGATAGTGTCTTTTGATGTACCAGTTTTTAAATTCGTCCTGATGTCCAATTTATTTTTTATTTGGTTGCTTTTGCTTTTGGTGTCACATCTAAGAAATCATTGCCAAATCCAATTTCATGAAGATTTTCTCCTATGTTTTCTTCTAGGAGTTTTATAGTTTGGTCTTCAGTTTAGAGCTTTGACTCATTTTTGAGTTCATTTTTGCATGTGGTGTTAGGTTCCAGCCTCATTATTTTGCATGTAGATCTGCAGGTTTTCCCAGCACCGTATGTTGAAAAGACTGTTCTTCCCCATTGAATGATGCTGGCACCCTTGTTTGAAAATCAGTTGACTACCTATGTGAGGATTTATTTCTGAGCTCTCTATTCCACTCGTCTGTATCCTTATCCCAGTACCACACTGTTTTGCTTACTGTAGCTTTCTAGTAAATTTTGAAATCAGAAAGTAAATCCTGGGCACCTGGGTGGCTCAGTTGGTTAAGCGACTGCCTTCGGCTCGGGTCATGATCCTGGAGTCCCAGGATCGAGTCCCGCATCGGGCTCCCTGCTCGGCAGGGAGTCTGCTTCTCCCTCTGACCCTACCCCCCCTCTCATGTGCTCTCTGTCTCTCTCATTCTCTCTGTCTCAAATAAATAAATAAAATCTTTAAAAAAAAAAAAAAAAGTAAATCCTCCAGTTTTGTTCTTTTTTAAGATCAGGTGAAATTAATAACACAATTTAATCCAGCATATCATTTCAACATGTAATCGATATAAAAACATCATTAATGAGATACTTTACGTGTTTATGTTCCTGCTGTGTCCTAACTTGAGTGTGTATTTGACTTAACAGCCACCTCAGTTTGGACCAGCTGTATTTCAACTCTCGAGAACCGCATGTGGCTCATGGCCACCATATTGGACAGCTCAGATTTAGCAGGAAATTGCATTGTGGCACAGATCTCTGAAAACACAGAGGGCTTTGAAGTCAGGTGGGCCTGGTTCCAAAGTCAGTTTGCCCCTTTCTTGTTGCGGTGGGCAGAAGGAAGCCCCTTGTGGGTGCTGTGGTAGAGGGGAAGCGGTTCAGTCATACCAGGGTAGGAGACAGCAATGAGGAAGGCATGCTGGGGAGGTGACACTTGAGCTCAGCCTCGGAGGTAGAGTGGGGGCTTCACCAAGTGGTCAGAATGGAAAAGGGCATTCTTGGCAGAGTGTGCAGCCTGGGCAGAGGCCCAGGATTTTGAGAGAGCCCATGCTCTTGGAGAACTGCAGGCAGTCCTTTCAGCTTGACCAGGGTATTAGGAGTGGGGGCCCTGGTGAAAGGACAGGCTGGCTGAAGCTGGACCTGCCACCACTGGCTACCACTGCCCCCAGCATCTCTTATTTGGATTCCCTAGCATCTCTTATTTGGGTTACTGGCAGTGGCCTCCTCACCGGCCTCCCTTTGTCTACCCTGCAGCCCCTCTCCCCACCAATCAGAATGTAAGTCAGGTAATGTCACTTCTCTGCTCAAAATCCTCAGTGGCTTCAGTCAATCCAGAAATGTCAGGGTCCTAGTGGGGTCAACCTGCACTTCTCCCTGGTCATCCCTCCTTCTTGAGCACTCTTCTCTGGCCATTTTGGCCTCATTTCCCTGCCCCAGGGCCTCTACGCTTGCTTTTCTCTCTGCCTGGATATGCCTCTCTCAGATGTTCCAATGGCTCACTCTCACACTTCATATCTCTGCCACTCAATTCCCCTCTCTTCAGCGAGCCCCTCCTGTCTGTCACCCTGTACAAAATAAAACAGTGCCCTTCGTAAGTTTTGTTCAAAACAGTTGTCACCAGCTGGTACAGCACGTCTGGCTGTGTTGTCGGCCTCTGCCCCGAGATGTAGGCCCCAAGAGAGCAGGGATTTGTCTCTTTTGCTCTCTCTACAGTGCTTGGTGTTCAGCAGGCATTTGTTGAATGAATAACTGGATGAATAAATGAACAAAACCTGAAACGTATCAGGCCTTCAAATGTATGTTGATTAGAGATTTTTGTCGAAGTCTTTGCCTTTACCTATTTTCCCTAGCTTTGTATTTGGAAAAAATAACAAATATTCAAAAAAGTTGAAAGAATAGTTCAATGACTGTCCATATATCTTCCACTTAGGTTCAAGTACTGCTAATACCTCACCACGATCACTTTATATATTCTCGCAAGTATATATGTGTTTGTGCAAGTGGATAAAAGTCAGTTGTAGAAACATGACGCTTAACCTTTGTGTTTAGAAGTTGGCTCTGGAGAGTGGTGAATCAGAGGAGACCACAGGCAGCAGGTGGCCGAGGCCATGGCCTCTGACCTGGACTTCTCACCTCCCGAGGTGCCTGAGCCTACTTTCCTGGAGAACCTGCTACGGTACGGACTCTTCCTGGGGGCCATCTTCCAGCTCATCTGTGTGCTGGCTATCATCGTACCTGTTCCCAAGTCCCACGAGGTGGTGAGTCCTTCCCTGCGAGCCTCTGCTCCTCAGACTGGGTTCTAGGTACTAAAAACAGATACCATGGCAGAGAAGATCAGTTAGGACTATGCCAGATTCCCGCCTAGTGGCTTTGAACCACGTGACCAGTACTTTATTTGTTCACACGTGTCAAGCAGATTTTTATTTACTGCCTACTACCTGTCAGTAGTCCTTGAGAGGGGGGCAGACATGAAACTTAGGGATGTTTCCATGAGAAGCCCAGAGCACTGTGAGGGTGCATATCCAGGGGGAGGACCTGGTCTTCCCTGGGGCAGGGGAATTGCATTTGCAAGGACTCTAGTCTAGTTTAAGTCACTGAATGACGATGACTGTGGCCAGAGCACAGAGGGACATGATGAGAGGCGCAACCAGAGGAGTGGGTGGGGCCCGGAGGGTTTTATGTAAGACACTGACAGGATCAGATTGGCTTTTTGTTGTATTGACTTTATTCTGTAGGTCTTTTTATTCTGTAGCGTACTCCCTCTCTCCCCCACCCTCCCTTTTCTCATGACACTGATTTGTTGGAGAAAGCAGGTCATTGTCATCTACAGTATCCACCTCCAGGATTTAGCTGATTGCCTCTGTGCGGCGTCATTTAACCTGTTTCTCTGTTTCCTGTATTTCCTATGAATAGGAAGTTCAATCTAGATGCTTGAGTGAACTCAGATCAGGTTATTTGGTGAGAACACCTCCTAGCTGGTGCTGTGGACTTCCTGTTACATGTCATCAATGAGCATGTGGTGTCTGCTTGTCACACATTTAGAGATTCCGATTGATCAGTGGGTTCAGGTGGTGGTAGCTGATCCTTCTATTGAAAAATCCCCACCAGTCTTTCACCTAAGTGTTTTCAGAATCCATTGCTGAGCTCCATTATTTCCTTGTGCATTTATTAGCTGGAATTCTTCGATGAAGAAGACCTTTTCCTCATTACCTGTATGGTTATTCTGAAATGCTGTTCATAGTAAAGGCTGGATGAATGCTTGGTTCTTTCCCTTTATTAATTTTCAGAGCAGTGAGTTTGGACTCTAGCAACCTCCAATCTCGGCCAATGAAGCTTTGATTTTCACATCATTTTGAACATTATATTTGTATTTTTATTTATAATATATATTTTTAAAAGATTTTATTTATTTATTTGACAGAGAGAGAGATAGCGAGAGCAGGAACACAAGCAGGGGGAATGGGAGAGGGAGAAGCAGGCTTCTTGCCGAGCAGGGAGCCCGATGTGGGACTCAATCCCAGGACCCTGGGATCATGACCTGAGCCGAAGGCAGACGCTTAACGACTGAGCCACCCAGGCGCCCCTATATATATATATTTTTTAAGATTTATTTATTTGAGAGAGATGGGAGGGAGGGGCAGAGGGAGAGAGAGTCTTAAGCAGAATCCACCGTGAACACAGAGCGTGACACAGGGCTCGATCTCACCACCCTGAGATCATGACCTGAGCTGAAACCAAGAGTGCGATGCTTAACTGACTGCGCCACCCAGGCACCCCTTGAACATACATTTGTATATATTTGATAAGTTTTTAGTTTTTTTTATGCTCAGATGGTTTCAAGGGGAGCCTCATCACATTGTGTGAAATATTGTTACCGGGGAAGTTCATTTAAGACTCATTGCCTAGGACTTCTCTTGGAGACGGGTTACATAAACACCCTCTGCTTAAGGACCAGAATTCCAGACTTCCGGAAGGAACATAGGTATTCGGCATAAACCATATTGTTTGGTTTAGGTACAGTGAGTCACTCTTATCAGTTCTGGGAATTGTGGGAACCACCCAAAATCCAATTTCCCAGGTGCCAGCCAGGCTTTCTAAAGATAGCAGTTTTTTTTTTATGTTGACTCTTGCACACACTTACAATATATTTATTATAATTTAAAAATAACTACATTGTTTTTTACTACTAACATTAAGACTCAGAATGAAATATAAGATTTCTTTGTGGTTCTTTCTGGCTTTAGAATATATCCCAGTAGGGATGTATGGTCAGAGTACTGGGTTTAGTAATTCTTCTCTTCATATAGTTATACTCCCGTTGTGATATACAGTTAGGCTAATTTGTTTCAACTTGTTTTGAAATTTTAGGGATTTTTTTTCCATTTTAATTTAATTAAAAAATTACATTAAATGTTTATGTACAATATTTCTCCCAAAGTCAAAATGATACAAGATACAATTGAAAGTCTCCTTTAGGGGCGCCTGGGTGGCTCAGTCGGTTAAGCGACTGCCTTCGGCTCAGGTCCTGATCCTGGAGTCCCGGGATCGAGTCCCATGTCGGGCTCCCTGCTCAGCGTGGGGTCTGCTTCTCCCTCTGACCCTCTTCCCTCTCGTGCTCTCTGTCTCTCATTCTCTCTCTCAAATAAATAAATAAAAATCTTTAAAAATAATAAAAAAAAAAAAAAGAAAGAAAGTCTCCTTTAACCTCAATATTCTCCAGTCTATTCCCTTCCTTCCTCCACAGGTAATAATTTTTATTATTTTGATTTATTCTTCTTTTGTTTCTTTTTGAAAACGTAAGCAGGGGCACCTGCGTGGCTCGTTGGTTAAGCGTCTGCCTTCAGCTCAGGTATGATCCCACGGTCCTGGGATCGAGCCCCGCTTTGCCTCTCCCTGTCCCTCTCTGCTGCTCTCCCTGATTGTGCTCTCTCTCTCTCTGTGTCAAATAAATAAATTTTTTTAAAAATTAAAAAAAAAAACATAAGCAAATGCATATGTGTGTGGTGTGGATACACATACATATGTATATATATAAATATTCTCCCCTTTGATACATAAAAGATGGCACACTATTAAATACAGTTTCACATTGTTTCTTTTTTCACTTAACAACATATAGTATATTCTGGAGATCCATTTTCCTTGGAGATGACTGTGTCCCAGAAATCCTGCTCATGTAGCTGGGAGGATCATGGCCATTTACTGATGCAGTGGAGAGCCCTGCCGAAGGACCAGCTTGGGGTGGGGCTGGGGAAGAAGTGTGCTGAGTTCAGTTTTTAACAGGTGCCTTTGAGATATGCAGGTGGTTCTGCCAAGTAAGCAGTTGGATCCACAGGTCTCTAGCAGGACGAGGGTCTGGGCTGAATGCTGATCAACATGAGGGAGCTGAGATGTAATTGAAGCCAGGCAATTGGGACTAGGTCTTCGGGGCGAGAACATGGGCTGAGATAAGCAGAGGACCTGGGCTGCAGCCCCGAGGAGCTCCAGCATTTAGGGGTCAGGGCGGGGGGAAGGCACAGCCACTGAGGGCATGGGAAGCCTTGGTGAACATGGACGGACTCATGGCCTCTGAGGGTCCTGTCCATCTCCGTTTCTTATTCTGGTGTTTTGAGAAGGAGGTCACGATTGGAGTTTTTCCACCCACAATTGTATCACACTCTAAAAACGTAATCCCTGTGCTCTGGGGCTCTGTCCTCGCAGACATGGCATGCTATTGGGTATTATAAATAACAAACATTTTTACTGCCATTGGCCACTGATGAAGCCTGCTAGGAGTCAGGGAGGGAGGGAGGGAGGTGATGAATGTTTTTATTTTATAGGCAGAGATGTATAGTCAGAGGTATGTGGCCTTTTGGAGAGCTGCTCCTCACCTCCTCTAGTGTTCTTAACCCTTCTAGCTGGTCCCAGAGGCCTGGGTCAGTTTAGCAAACAAGGAAAAGGGGGTGCCTTTTACTCATCTCTTTGAGGTTCTTTTTTTTTTTTAAGATTTTATTTATTTTTGTGGGAGAGAAAGAGCACGAGCAGGGGAGAAGGAGAAGGAGGCTCCCTGCTGAGCAGGAAGCCCGATGCGGGACTCGATCCCAGGACCCTGGGATCATGACCTGAGCCGAAGGCAGACGCTTAACGACTGAGCCACCCAGGTGCCCCTAGCCTTTTTTTTTTTTTTAAGTTTTTCAGTGGATCAGTAACAAAAAATATAGTACCGGTAATTAAACTTTATTGGTGCATCAGGCCAACAAATGGCCCCCAATTATGGAGGGGTTCTACTGCAGGCTTTCCTCAGTGTGCCCCCAGAAGGCAGCCTTCTCTTGCCCCTCACACTCCTAAATAGATGGAAGGGAGCACAGTACTCTGTGCACAAACCGTCTCACAAAGGGAGGGTGAGTGCTGAGACTGTGCTCAGAGGTTGAGCCTGCAGCTAGCTGGGATTTGGAATTTGGATGGGGATGGAGAAAAGAAGGGGATTTTACTTGGGGCCAGGGAGCTCTTAGGGAGGAAGGGTGCCTGTGGGGATAGCTGGTGGGGACCCTGGGGAAGCCCGAGGGCAGGAGGGAAGTGGAAGGTGCCACTGGAAGTGGAGGGTGCCAGGAGGTGGGAGAGGGTAGAATTGGGGGTGGGAGGACCCAGAGAACAGTCTTGCTCTCTTTGCCGTTTTGCTTAGGGCAAAATCATCCCTCTTGCTTGGCCTATAGAAACAAGGTTTATTAGTGGCTTTTTGGGTCAGAAGATAATATTTTTGGCTCTAGATGATGGGAAAGCCTTTGAAAAGCAAAAGAATGTCTTTCCTGTTGTTCCAGTAAGCCGATTTTTTGCAACTAGTTTATGACTTCAGTACTTCAATACTTAGCAGATTATTTGAAAGCTCTTTTGGGGGTAATCAGGGAAGAAAAAAGGAACACATACAAATGCTTCCCACCCCACCCCCTTCTTTTCATAGTGGGCGCAAGAGCCAGTTTGCAAAATCAAAACTAAAGTCCTTCCAGTCTTAAGCCAAATGAGAACGTGTTCTCGTCAACACCTCATTAAACCAAGACCTGAGAAAACAAACATTTGTGTGAGCCTGATTGAGGCCTGGGCCGCACTTACTCCAAGCATTTTCTCATAGGCTGGATTCTAAAATAAGAGAGTAGATCCTACACCATTTCTCTCTAGTCCAAGAGGGCACATACATGTCATCTCTCATGTCAAGTCTGATGGATTGTGGGGTGGCCATCATGGATGGATTCTGGGCCTGCTTCTAGGCTCCAGGTAAAGTGAG